GGTACAGGTTCAAGTCGTATCCTGAGGACGTCAATGCTTACATCACTCCATCTACCGACGACGCATCCAAGACTATCGCGGAGAGAACAAGGTACTACTTCGCTACCTCGCTGCCGGTCAAGAGCTCGTACGTGAAGGGATACGGAGTGTCGGGGATGGTCATAACCGGCGGTACGCTCGCGGGAGACTGCTACATCAAGTACGTAGAGGGTCCTCAGAGCATAAGAGGAAACAAGCCGGAGGTACGATTTATCGCTGGGGCCACGTCCAAGTTCGAGATCACTTACGCGGGAAGCGGATACACCTCTCCTCCGCGCTTCATCGGTCAGTGTGTGACCAGCACGGCAGTCACGATCTACTTCAACGGAGTTTTCTTGTTGTCTGGAAATACAGGGGTAAGACGCGTTGAGGTGACAGTACAGGGAAACAACTGTCGCCCAGGAACTACAGTCAATATCGAGTCTCCAAATCCAGCTGGGTCCTACATTGATGGCCTGACGGGGTTGACTTATGTAGGTCAGCAAGCCTCAGCTGTAGTCTTGCTGGAGGGAAACAGCGTGTCTCAGGTGGCGCTCCAGAACGGAGGTAGTGGATACATATCAACTCCTTTGGTTACGTTTCCGGCTACATGCAATGCTGAGGCGAGGGCGTACATCTCCCAGAACTTCTCGTCGAGCATTGCGATGAGGTACGAAACAGGCAACACCTTCTTGTACGACTGGAGCAGAGAGCAGACCGACACCTTGACGGGCCTTTACTTGTCTGAGTTCTCGTCTGTCTCCTTGTTCTCTCTCGAGACGGCGGCAAGCGGGTCAGCAGAGATCAACTCTGGGTACGTGGCAACGATTGCCATTACTCACGCTGGTACAGCCTGCATGAGCCCGACGGTGATCGTGTCCGCACCTTCAGGGATGCCGTCGAATGCGCAGGCAAGGGCAGTTGCCGCCACAAACGCAGGCATCCTGGCATTCATCAACGTGACATACGGAGGGTATGGATACACGTCAGCACCATCGGTGATCATCAAAGGTTGCGGGGCTGCGACTGCGAAGGCCTTCTTGAGCTACTCGAACGTCGATGTGCTTGTGGGCGGATCAGCCTCGTTCTCTAGCTACAGAGGAATGCGACCACTCCAAGTGACGCAGTCGTCTGCCAACTCGTACAAGACTGTCAACCCGGTCACGTCTGCCATGGACTCCCCGGTCCTGGTCGGCTTCAACGAAGCATGCTCCAATGGTCAGACCGAGGCATACCAGCGGGATCAGTCTACCTACAAGAACTCGCGTGTCACCGGAGTGACCATGTCAAGCGCTGGAGCAGGATACACCTTCAAAGGCACCACCGTGACCTTCTCTGCCTCGCCGCTGGGCTCCTCCAACATGTACGCGACTGCCAAGGGTGTACCGACGTGGTCGTTCCCTCCTACAACCACCTCCAATGGGGGCACTACAAACCTGAACACGAACGTCTTGCTGTACAAAGGGGCTGCTCTGTCGACAGCAACCGGATGCGACAACATCGTCTTGATGTTCTCCTACCCCGAGAGGGCCGGAGGAGCGCAGCTTCAGATCCAGATCAACAGCGCCGCATCCAGAACCTCTCAGGTCATTCAGCAAGGAACGGGCTATGCCTCGATCCCGTACGTGTACGACATCAAGTTCTACTCTAACGGCCAGTTCTTCTTGAAGGATGGATACACGGGCACCAACGGGAACTGCATTCCCCAGTACTTCGCTATCGACGTACCTCGGTTGACTAATCTCGCATCGGGCGTTGGGTTGGTCATCGACGGCGTGTACATGACTCAGGGAGGGTACGGGTATGACATCGCTCCCACCGTGACGTTTGACTGCAAGTCATGTACCATAACCTCACAGGCCGTGGCAATCGCCAACATGGAGAGCGGATGCTTCAATGGTCAGTGCACTCAGCCTTCCTACGCCAACGCCTTCTTCTCGCCTGTCAACAAAAACAACCTCCAGGTCTGCCAGGCGACCAACCCGGGAGCCAACGACTACCGCACGCGCAAGACGCTTCAGATGCGAGTATCCTCGGGTCAGTCTGGCATCCAGTACTCGTCGTCGATGGCGTACGCGGCGAGAAGGAACCGAGGCTTCATGGCATCGACTGGATCGCTGAACTTCTACGTCTCATCTCAGAACCTCCTGTCAGCCATGTGCACACCACCTCAGGTAGTCGTGGAGCCTCCGATAACCATGTCGGGTGTCCCCGCACAGGTCGAGCTTGTGGTCGAGAGCACGAGGGCCGACAGCTATCTCTCTCAGAGTCCAGCCACAGCCGCTGATCTGCCGGCACAGGCCGCACAGTACAAGCTTGCTGTCCGCACTGTCAACCCGGGCTCGGGATACGTAACTGCCCCCGCTGTCTCCTTTGTGAGCGTTGGGAGCACACCATGTTCTACGACTGGCCTGGTGGTCGCAGCGGAACTGCAGGGAGGCATGTCGGTCGCGACTGTACAGACAGCTGCTGCTCCGTTGTACATCTGCCCAGCACAGACGTATTACCTCAACCCCACTACTATGACCCTCTCCACCACTCAGACTCAGGGGGCTGCGACTATCACCTGGGATCGTAAGGCCAATGCTCCATACGTGGTTGACGGCGGCTACGGGTACTCGTACGGCACCCAGTCTGTCACTCTCTCGTGGGCATCGTGCGGGTCAACTACAGTGGTGATCTTCTTCGAGGACAGCAAGTCCCTGGATGGCCTTGCGCCGTACCCGTCGTTCTGGCCGGGAGACATGTCGGTGGATCAGTCTACCTGGAGGAATCATGCGGGAGAGATCACGGGCGTTGACTTCATGTACGAGTCTAAGCACTTCTTTTCCAACCCGACGGTACCGACGCCTCAAACCTTCTTGAACGTGAACATCGCGGCTCGAAGCCTGAAGCAGGCTGGCTTGTTCTCATCGAGATCTAACGATATGCGGGCAGCAGCCAGTGTCTCATTCGTCTTGGAGGACGCCTCTTGCTTCAAGGCAGGAGATTTGATTGAGATTGACACCGAGATCTTCAAGATTGGAACGGTGACCGGCAACATGATCACTGTTAGTGAGAGGGCGCTTGGAGGAACACAGTCAGCTCAACACTTTCCCGGAGCGAGTGTCGTCTTGTTCTTTCCTGGCACGGCACTTGAACAGACTGTCGGGGCATCCGTTGCGGGAATGATTGATACGTTCTATGTGGCATCAGCGAGTGGGTTTGCCGTTGGAGTCTCAATTGCGATCGATGACGAGTTCATGCTGGTGGCGAGCGTTGACACGACCGCCAATACTCTGAGCGTGTACAGAGGATACACACAGGCGGAGGGAACAAAGACTCCATCACATCAAGCAAGTTCACTGGTGGGACTCTTCAACCCCAAGGCTGCAGTAGCAAAGACCTCGGCCTCCATCACAGCGACTGCCACGTCTCTCTCAGTCTTCACCACGAGAGGCTTCACGGCCAACACTTACATTCAGATTGATAACGAGATCATGCTGATCACTGCCTTGAACACGGGCTCGTTCACCGTTCTCCGCGCTCAGGCTTACACTCAGGCAGCATCGCACGCATCTGGGGCCGAGTACAAGGCCGTGAGCGTCGAAACAGTCTCTTATTTGCCTATTGCGTTGAAATCTGCGCTGTCTGAAGCTGCGACTGTTGTGGATTTGAACGTTAGCAAGACAGCATCGCTGTTAGCACAGGGCGCCAATATCCTCGTGGAGAATGAGATTATTTATATCTGGTATGTGAACGAGTCTGCAAACACCATCACTGTCTCTAGAGGACAACAAGGTTCCATGGCAGCCGCACACAGCGCGAGCGCGGAGGTTGTATTTCCCATTAGGGCTCAGAACCTGATTGATACCATCATCGGGGCTACTGGCGTGCTTCAGTCCATCTCAGGCAGCAACTCCGGCTTGTACGCACGTCCTCTAATGACCAACCCCGGCACTGCTGATGCTACCCCGATGTTGCACCTCGAGGGCATCGCAGTGATCAGCAGCCCAACCAAGCTCCAGAAGGCCCCTGTGCTCTCCCTCAACTACCTCGCTCCTGCCTTCACCCCTTACCCTGCAGTAAACCAAGACCTGATCGCTGCTTCAGTGTCCTACCCTGTCATCTACAACCCAGCCAAGTATAGCACCGACCCGCTCTACTACCAAGACAGGATGGACGGATACGACTTGATGTATCCCCACTCCTCTGTGCTACAGAGCAGCTCCAACCGGATCAACGGAACAAGCCCGGTCTACATCTTCGACTCGTTTGGACAGATGCTGGGCGATCACGTGGTCGGCAGTGAGAGCATCGCCGTGACCCTGCAGGCTCGTACCGCCCCGATCACCACCAACCCCGTGACCTCTACCACCTCATCTTCGACCTTGACAACCAAGACATCGTACAAGGTGACTCAAGTGTCTCCTAGCCTGGGCAGCGTGTGGGGGCCTCCTTCCAAGGTCTACTCGCCTTTCTTGGGCTACTCCATCAAGTCAGTGGTGGCATCCGGGGTTCAGTCTCCAGCTACGCTCAACGCTGCCATTACCGCAATTTCCATCTCCGTTGAGCTGACCGTGGCTGTCTCGTACATCACGGTATACAGTTATATCCGCATTGACAATGAGGTAATGAAGGTCACGGCTGTCACTGAAAATACCCTGACCGTGGTCCGTGCTCAGCGGTCAACCTACGCAACCACTCACGCTCTAAACGCCAACGTGTACTCGGACTGCATCGGTCGACTCTACGCCGAGCCGAGCCTGGAGGGAGGAGAGCCGGCCATCCTCGACTTTAGTGGGAGCTCAGTGACGGTGGTGTCGGGAGGCAGCGGATACTTGTCAAGCTCGCATGTGTATGCCTGCGGGAGTGCTACGAGATGTGACTATGCTACAGCCCAGGACAACACCTGCTCGCTGACCTTCACTGCCAGTCTCGGGCCCGCTGTGACTGAGGTGTATCTGAACGATACGGTAGCTACGAGAGCTCTTGGAGGGCAGATGACAGGACTCACTTCCTCCAGCAGTCGATTCTTCTTGTGGAAGACTCGGCCGAGAAAAGTTTCAATAGTCTCTACATCATCAGCTTCATCAAATACAAACAATTCCTCCAACAGCTCTAATACTCTCATTTCAGTTTGTGGAGATGGGATCAAGTCGCCTAGCGAGGCTTGTGATGACGGCAACACCCGGCCTTACGACGGCTGCAGCTCTAACTGTACGATCGAGCGTCTCTGGCGATGTGCCGACGTGAATCAGATCTCCGTCTGCCAGCTCATCAGCCTCCCGAGGTTTGTCACCCTCCAGCTCTACCCCAACACCTCCTTCACCAACGCTCCTTGTAGCTACCAGGTGACCGTCGAGGCGAACTTCTACTTCAAATTAGGGGCCCCCATCGCAGTGAGAGGTCTCCCTATTACTTCCAACGCCAGCACCCTGGACATCTCCAGCACTGACGTGTCCCCAATGGCATCTTGGAACCTTACTTCTCAGCTCCTTATCTTCAACGTGTCGAATTCCAACACCAACGCCACCATCCTCACCTTCACCAGCAGAAGTCCACCAGCCCCCTTGAACTCGATCAACGTCCAAGTCTCTTGCATTGATTGTGTCGCTGACTTGCCGAACTACTCCGTTCCAGTCTTCACTTCCACCCAGCCTCTGACATTCAAAACTCTTCCTCCTTCCATTTGCTCGGGCTCAAAGTTTGGTCCCAGCTGTGAATACACCTGCTATGGTACTGTGGTTGTCAACAGCTGCGTTTGCTCAGCTGGACAGGTCGGGTTTCTATGTGACCAGACAGCCACGCTGAACCCAGCCCTCAGCACCCCTCCTCAGGTCGTCTCCAGCTCGGGTAAGAACCTCACCTCTTCCACAGGCATCGGGGTGGAGATACCTGCTGGAGCTCTCGTTCAGAGTGTCACCATTTCAGTCAAAGTCTACGAGGTGTCAAACCTCGACCTCGGCGTTCAGCAAGGCTCCATAGACCCGGCGGGCCCTCTTGTGCAGTTCGAGCCATCAGGCATCCGATTCAGCAAGCCCGTCAAGATCTTCACACCCTACGACCCCAGCAGGATCTCAGGAGGAAAAGTCCCGTCAGTCTTCTACAACAACGAGTCAGCGTTCCCTCCATGGGAGCGGCAGGAGAGTCAGGTAGTGGCCGGGAAGACCCTAGCCGTGGCGTCGGTGCTTCACTTCTCTGGCTACATGACCATGGCCGCGGACCCTTTGCTCATCACTACTCCCAACACATCGCCCAGCTCTTCGATCACTGAAGGAGGTCAAAGTGACCAGTCTGTTCCCTCCGTCGATTCAAAGGGATCGAGCAAGCTTGGCCTGATTCTCGGACTATCGCTCGGAGCTGCGGCGCTGCTCATGGTCTCACTGATAATCTTTCGACTTCGCCGCATGCGAGCGAAGGCTGCAGGGACGAACATTCCTCAGAATGTACGGCTAGGATCGTTCCGCGGGAACCCACCAAGTCATCAAGCGCAGCAAAGGGAAGTCGAAGAAGAGGCGATGACGAACTCCAACGCTTTTGATGCTTCAAATTCCTCATTGATTTTCGGGATTCCCGTAGAGGAACGCGATCTCTCAGACCAGGCGTGAGACAGCTGTGATGTATCTGTATCTCTAACAGTGATACATCACAGCTGTGATGTATCTGTATGTCACTCAACCACCCAGTTGCTGTCAACGATTGAAACCAAGGAGCAGAGCATCTCGACTATCAACTCATGCTGATGGACAACTTCCATGACACCTGTCCAGCCGGCGACTCAAGAGGAAAAGAACCATGTCAGTTCTTCGGGCACTACGACCAGCGACAAACTTGGATCATCTTAATGATCGATGCGGATCTCTTGTATGCCAGTGTAATCTTAGAATAGAATCCACCAAAGTAAGTAAGCTGATTCAAAAGTTTGATTAATCAAAAGCATCCAGCCATTGTTGGCTGGTGCTTGTACAATCTAAGATCCTAAGATTGTTCGTGAAAAAAAAAGGGAGAATATTATCTCTTCTCTCCTCCCATTTCAATCCCGTTTCCACTCTTTTGGTCTAGTCTACTTTCTCTTCTGATCTTTTCTGATCTCTTCTTATCTCTTCTTCTCTTTTCCCTTCTCCCTCTGAGGAAGGGATTTCCTCTAATCTGTCAATAACTGGATTTTCTACTTGATATTCGACACTCAAAGAAATCTGTTCTGCATTTTCCTTTGGGAGATGAATTTTTCTCCATAATGTTCATGGGCCAATACCTGTCTCCTCAACTCCAGTGGTGGCAGGAGAATTCGCTCTCCTGGAATCTTGTGCCCGCTAGCAAGGAGCCCAGTCGTCTGTCATTCAGGGACGCAGTTGATAGCACGATGTCCCTCCAGGATGTCTTGGAGATCTTTAGAGACTTTGAGGCTGAGATGTCACGTTGGGATCCAAAAATTTTAATCATCGTGGATGCCGCAAGAGATTTTATTCCAATGACAAATACCGATATCCCACGAGGAGTTGGAGACATTGGGAGGATGTCAAAGAACTGCACGCTGCTATTCACATGTTGTGAAGGTCAGACTGCAGCTGATAAGTCAATCTTCATGAGATTGCTCTTGGATCCTCGAACAGGAATCTTTGCTCCCAAGAGAGCGCTTGACCTTGCACTATTGTCCTGTGCGCGAGGATGTCGTGAAATACAAGCATGCAATCTCATCGATGCTCACAAGAGCGGACGTTGAAAGACAAGGAGGAGCCCGGGGTAGAGATTGATCTAAATGTGGATACCTCTGACTTCTGCTTCACTCTCGCCTTGTTTGTGTCAACCATGATAGTCCCGCTCACTTCCGTCTCACCCTGTCCGCTAACTCGCACCTGAAAAATGCAGCTCGTTACCAAGTCCAGGTGGACTTCAGCTGATTCCGACGAGGCCAGATGCTAGAGTTTCTTCGAGTCCTCCATTGTAATCCCTTTCAGTGCCTAACTGATTGACCGGCAGCGCGAGGGAGCTGCGAGACTCGTTGGGAGGAGGCAGCACGACAGAGGCAGGACCAGGAGCTGGCGAGCAAGACAGTACTAGAGGGCTGGCAGCTGAATGCGGCCCGAGAGTTGGACTCGAAGGGAAGCAGTTCACTGTTGCTCCCGGCTCACTGACTGCCGGTACTCCTGGCAATACATACGTGAAGGAACGAACTTGATTGATACGATTGATAAGAGAGAAAGGGACAAGTCGGTCGAGCCCGTTCACTGTTGACCCTCTCTTGCCTTGCAACAGACATTATCAGAAGCATATCTGGTTGTAGCAGTAGGAGGTCAACGGTTCAAGAACAGGTGGAAGTACAAGGTAAGATTCATGTTAACATTTTAATCGACACGACTGGATTGGGAGGAGAGCAGCACGGAAAAAGTCTGATTCTACCTTCCCCTCTTCCACCAACCAAGACTCCCTCCTCCCCACTCTAAAGGTCTCACAACATTTCACTCACCTGGTGTCTCTGCTTCCCCACTCTGAAGTTGTGACGACATTCTCACTCACTGACCTTTCAAACCCTCTGATCTCTCCGCACGTCCCACACTACCATCACAAGTGCCATCTAGAACTCACACGCTCTCGTCTCCTCCCTCCTCTCACTCGTTGATCCCCAGACTTTTGAGATAGTCAACGATCCCCAGCAGCCCACCCCAGCTGGCCCGTTGTGCACACGTGAACCCGTGCTTGTCCTTCTCTCTCAGCAGCTCCTCCCCGCACATTTCCTGCAGATATCGCAGCATGTCAAGATGTCCGCCTTCGCTCGCCGCATGCGCGCATGTCATCCCATCATCGTCCTTCTCTGCCAGCAGCTCCTTCCCGCAAGTCTCTCCGAGGTACCGCAGCGCTTCCAGCTGCCCTCCAAGGCTGGCCGTCAGCGCACACGTCTTGCCTTCCGAGCTCTTCTCCTTCAGCAGCCCCTCTCCGCAGGTCGCCTTGAGATAACGCAGCACCTTCAGCTGCCCTCCAGCACATGCCCCGTGTGCGCATGTCTCCCCATCATTGTTCTTCTCTCTCAGCAGCTCCTCCCCGCACGCCTCCTTCAAGTAACGCAGGACGTCAACCTGACCTACTGCACTAGCCGCATGCGCACAAGTCAAGCCATCGTTATTCTTCTCCCTCACAAACTCCTTCAGTTTCTCCTTCCCACACTGAGCCTCCACGCTCTTCAGCACCTCCACATGTCCAGCCTCCACCGCCCAATGCCCGAAAGTCTTTCCTTTCTTGTCCCTCGCCTTGAGGTCTGCTCCTGCCTCTATCAGCTCCTTCACGCTCCCGGCCCTCCCCAGCATCGCTGCCACATGCAATGCTGCCCTGCCATCCTCCAACCGCGCATTCAAGTCGCACCCGGCGGCCTTCAGCACCGGGATCAGCTCCCCCTGCCCACGTACCACCGCTATGACTGTCGGGGGTTCAGTTTGCTCGCCAGAGATTGACAGGCCAGAAATCTGGCACAGCCTCTTGCTCAGGTCTCGTCTGCTGTTCTCATCCGCTGCATTCAGCGAGCTGATCTGCTTCAGCAGGCTCGCCATCGTCTTCCAGCAAACCGACTTCATCGTGTCTCTTGCAAGCTCGTCACATCGCTCGTCTCCTGTGGTGTCCTCAATCCAGTATCTGAGCTTGTTGATCGCCATGTTCTTCATCGAGTTGTACAGGTCGATCGCATCTTTGAACTTCCAGTCGTCGTTGTACCACTCTGCATCCTTCTCCTTACTCACTTTAACGAGCTTCCAGCATTCATCCTTGATCGATCTCAGAAGCTTCTTGTAGTTGTTCAAAGAATCAGCAACTGCACTGCTCAGCCGCTCCTGGATCCTCGGCTCCCACTCCACCAGCTCTCGCTCTACCTCCCTCGCGATGTTCTCCATCAGCCCTACGTACAGCTGCTTCTTCTTCCCTAGCGTCTCTTCGATCGTCAAGCTCATCGTGTTCGCGTTGATCTTCAGCTCCAGCACCTTCACCCGCCTCCCCTCTACCTCCCTGTACCGCGGCGTCTTCACCACCTCCAGGTACGACAGCGGCGGATACAACATCTCCCCCTCCCCCGGATACTGAGACACAAACGTCAAGCTCGCCCCCCGGTCGATCGCCCCGCAGCTGATCTCGAACACGACCGACTCTCCCTCCTCCCCGGCGTACTGCATCGCCGTCCTGACGTCTGTCGTCGTGCTCAGCAGCCCGTACTCGACTCCTCCGGACACCCCGAGCTTGTCCTCGTTGAGGAAGCTCTCCGGCAGCTTGAGGCCCTTCAGTCCAATCCACACTTGCCGATCCTCCGGCAGAGGCGTGTGACGAGACAGCTTCACGACGCCGCTGACGATGCAGTGGATGGTCGTCGTGTACCTGTTTGCGACTTTGTCTGGGGCCCTGAGGGAGTTGTTATACTTGTCATACATCGGCCCTGTCACCATGTCAAGCTTGTCAGTCATCCCCGCCTCCTCCCTCCTCCCTCTCTCCCCTTCTTTGTCTCAGCCCATGCTCCTTCTCCCTCTCTCGCTATCTCTCTCTTACCTGTGTAGAGCTGCAGCGCGATCAGCTCCGCCTCCTGTAGCCCCGCCTTGATCGCCGTGTCCAGCGCCTTCAGCTCCTCCATCCCTCGGATCACCCGCGTCCCGTCCGACAGCCTCCGCCTCCTCTCCGGGTCTGTGACGTTGAGCCACTCCTCCTTGGCTGTCGTCGTGATCCCGTAGTTGCTCGTCGTGAACCCTTCCTCTGCGTCCTTGCCCTTGCAGTGCTCCTCCTCTATCGCCTTCATCAGCTCCGTCTGAGGTAGCCCGATCCGCTCCATCAGCCCCCCGTAGTACTCCTCGATCTTCCCGTACACGGCCTCGCGTATCTCCCCGCTGCCTGTACCGTCTGACGCGTTCACCGCAAACTTGCTGTTGTGCGACGTCGGACTGTCTCCTCCCGCCCGCCCTCCTGCCTCCGCCGGCCTCCTCAGCGCCTCCTCGAGCCTCCTTGCTATCGCCGTCTGCCATAGAGCCGATAGAGCGCTCTCCGTCATCCCCTGTAGCCCCGCAAGAGGACTCGCCGCGCTCCCGCCGGGGATGCACTCCGCCATGACTCGGAGGATGTTGAGGTCGCCGAGGCTGCTGGCCTTGCGCTCGAGCTCCCACTCTCTTGCGACTCTGACCTCGTAGTCGTCGTACGTGAGCTTGTCAGGGCCTTCATGGGGCATGAGGGCCGACGCGTCTAGGCCAAGAGCGAAGCGAAGCTTGTTGTGGAGCTTGGAGGATGGCTGGGGGTTGTCGAATAGCTCGCGCAGAGCAGATTTGATCTCGTCGGTCAAACGCCATTCCCCGGCTCCCGATGGCCTCACCTGTGTCTTGTTTGATGGCTGAGTCGTAGGGCTGGAGATGCTTGACGGGATCGTCTTCACATTTCCTTGAGGGGCTGGGGGATCTTTGACAGTCTGCTTTCTCAGCGCGGCCTCGAGCTCTGAGATCCTTCTTGTCGCTTCCTCCAACCTCTTCTTGAGTAGCGAGTCATCATGACCGTCCTCGGGCTTCACTTTGGACGAGAAGCAGGGGAAGCAACTCATGTCCCTTCCTCAGCCCAGGGAGAAACCTGCTACAGGAGCTTACATCAGCCGGCTTCAGATATCTCTCCTCTCTTCCTCTCCCATTCCCATTCCCTCCTTCTCTTTCCTTCCTTCCCTCCCCGCCCCCCTTCTATTCTCTCCCTCTCTCTCTCTCTCTCTCTCTCTCGCTCTCGCTCTCGCTCTCTCTCTCGCTCTCTCTCTCTCTCTCTCTCTCTCCTCTCCTCTCCT